CACTCACTCACTCACTCACTCACTCACTCACTCACTCACTCACTCACTCACTCACTCACTCACTCACTCACTCACTCACTCACTCACTCACTCACTCACTCACTCACTCACTCACTCACTCACTCACTCACTCACTCACTCACTCACTCACTCACTCACACTCACTCACTCACTCACTCACTCACTCACTCACTCACTCACACTCACTCACTCACTCACTCACTCACTCACTCACTCTCTCACTCACACTCACTCACTCACTCACTCACTCACTCACTCACTCACTCACTCACTCACTCACTCACTCACTCACTCACTCACTCACTCACTCTCACTCACTCACTCTCACTCACTCTCTCACTCACTCACTCACTCACTCACTCACTCACTCACTCACTCACTCTCACTCACTCACTCACTCTCACTCACTCACTCACTCACTCGCTCGCTCACTCACTCACTCACTCACTCACTCACTCACTCACTCACTCACTCACTCACTCACTCACTCACACTCACTCACTCACTCACTCACTCACTCACTCACTCACACTCACTCACTCACTCACTCACTCACTCACTCACTCACTCACTCACACTCACTCACTCACTCACTCACTCACTCACTCACTCACTCACTCACTCACACTCACTCACTCACTCACTCACTCACTCACTCACTCTCACTCACTCACTCACTCACTCACTCACTCACTCACTCTCTCTCACTCACTCACTCACTCACTCACTCACTCACTCACTCACTCACTCACTCACACTCACTCACTCACTCACTCACTCACTCACTCACACTCACTCACTCAGTGTATTCAAGTCAATAATGAGTATGAGCTTGCAAGTACAGTACGTTCAGCCGCGGGGACGCCTGCCAGTTGATGGGTTTCATAAGGTCACATGGGGAAGGTCACATGGGGGAGGTCACACGGGGAGGTCACTGTATTTGATAAGTGTGTAAAGTGGTCAATATATTCTATATGACGTAGGAAGGCGGGGGGCAGTGTGGCGGGTCAGGTGGGAAGAGTTCTTATGTTGTGTAGATGGGCGACGCCTGTATAGGTTGGTAGTGCTTTTGTAAGTGTGTAGTACCTGTGTAGGTGGGTGGTGCCTGTGTAGGTTGGTAGTGCTTTTGTAAGTGTGTAGTACCTGTGTAGGTGGGTGGTGCCTGTGTAGGTTGGTAGTGCTTTTGTAAGTGTGTAGTACCTGTGTAGATGGGCGACGCCTGTATAGGTTGGTAGTGCCTTTGTAAGTGGGGAGTACCTGTGTAGGTGAGCGACGCCTGTATAGGTTTGTAGTGCCTTTGTAAGTGGGGAGTACCTGTGTAGGTGAGCGACGCCTGTATAGGTTGGTAGTGCCTTTGTAAGTGGGGAGTACCTGTGTAGGTGAGCGACGCCTGTATAGGTTGGTAGTGCATTTGTAAGTGGGGAGTACCTGTGTAGGTGAGCGACGCCTCGCCTGTATAGGTTGGTAGTGCCTTTGTAAGTGGGGAGTACCTGTGGTAGGTGAGCGACGCCTGTATAGGTTGGTAGTGCCGTTGTAAGTGGGGAGTACCTGTGTAGGTGAGCGACGCCTGTATAGGTTGGTAGTGCCTTTGTAAGTGGGGAGTAGTACCTGTGTAGTGAGCGACGCCTGTATAGGTTGGTAGTTCCATTTGTAAGTGGGGAGTACCTGTGTAGGTGAGCGACGCCTGTATAGGTTGGTAGTGCCTTTGTAATCAGTGGGAAGTACCTGTGTAGGTGAGTCGACGCCCTGTATAGGTTGGTAGTGCCTTTGTAAGTGGGGAGTACCTGTGTAGGTGAGCGACGCCTGTATAGGTTGGTAGTGCCTTTGTAATTGGGGAGTACCTGTGTAGGTGAGCGACGCCTGTATAGGTTGGTAGTGCCTTTGTAAGTGGGGAGTACCTGTGTAGGTGAGCGACGCCTGTATAGGTTGGTAGTGCCTTTGTAAGTGGGGAGTACCTGTGTAGGTGAGCGACGCCTGTATAGGTTGGTAGTGCTTTTGTAAGTGGGGAGTACCTGTGTAGGTGAGCGACGCCTGTATAGGTTGGTAGTGCCTTTGTAAGTGGGGAGTACCTGTGTAGGTGAGCGACGCCTGTTATAGTTTGGTAGTGCCTTTGTAAGTGGGGAGTACCTGTGTAGGTGAGCGACGCCTGTATAGGTTGGTAGTGCCTTTGTAAGTGGGGAGTACCTGTGTAGGTGAGCGACGCCTGTATAGGTTGGTAGTGCCTTTGTAAGTGGGGAGTACCTGTGTAGGTGAGCGACGCCTGTATAGGTTGGTAGTGCCTTTGTAAGTGGGGAGTACCTGTGTAGGTGAGCGAACGCCTGTATAGGTTGATAGTGCCTTTGTAAGTGGGGAGTACCTGTGTAGGTGAGCGGACGCCCTGTATAGGTTGGTAGTGCCTTTGTAAGTGGGGAGTACCTGTGTAGGTGAGCGACGCCTGTATAGGTTGGTAGTGCCTTTGTAAGTGTGTTGTAACTATATTCACCTAGTTGTGCTTGTTGGGGTTGAGCTCTGCTCTTTCGGTCCACCTTTCAACTGTCAATCAATTAACATCCTCCCCTCCCCCCCCCCCACACAGGAAGCAGCCTGTAGCAGCTGTCTAACTCCCAGGTATCTATTTACTGCTGGGTGAACAGGGGCATCAGGGCGAAAGAAACTGCCCATTTGTTTCTGACATTGCCGGGAATCTAACCCAGACCCAAGGATTACGAGTCCAGAGCGCTGTCCATTCAACCACAGGGCCCCCCTGACCAACCCCTTAAGAGGATTAAGAACCCCCCCCCCCTGTGTAGATGAGTGGTGTCTGTAGATGGATTGTTCTTGTGTAGGTGGGTGGTGGCTGTGTAGGTGGGTGGTGGCTGTGTAGGTGGGTGGTGGCTGTGTAGGTGGGTGGTGCCTGTGTAGGTGGGTGGTGGCTGTGTAGGTGGGTGGTGGCTGTGTAGGTGGGTGGTGGCTGTGTAGGTGGGTGGTGGCTGTGTAGGTGGGTGGTGGCTGTGTAGGTGGGTGGTGGCTGTGTAGGTGGGTGGTGTGGCTGTGTAGGTGGGTGGTGGCTGTGTAGGTGGGGGTGGTGGTGTAGGTGGGTGGTGTGGCTGTGTAGGTGGGTGGTGTGGCTGTGTAGGTGGGTGGTGTGGCTGTGTAGGTGGGTGGTGTGGCTGTGTAGGTGGGTGGTGAGGCTGTGTAGGTGGGTGGGTGGCTGTGTAGGTGGGTGGTGTGGCTGTGTAGGTGGGCGGTGAGGCTGTGTAGGTGGGTGGTGGCTGTGTAGGTGGGTGGTGGCTGTGTAGGTGGGTGGTGGCTGTGTAGGTGGGTGGTGGCTGTGTAGGTGGGTGGTGGCTGTGTAGGTGGGTGGTGGCTGTGTAGGTGGGTGGTGGCTGTGTAGGTGGGTGGTGGCTGTGTAGGTGGGTGGTGGCTGTGTAGGTGGGTGGTGGCTGTGTAGGTGGGTGGTGTGGCTGTGTAGGTGGGTGGTGTGGCTGTGTAGGTGGGTGGTGTGCCTGTGTAGGTGGGTGGTGTGGCTGTGTAGGTGGGTGGTGTGGCTGTGTAGGTGGGTGGTGTGGCTGTGTAGGTGGGTGGTGTGGCTGTGTAGGTGGGTGGTGTGGCTGTGTAGGTGGGTGGTGTGGCTGTGTAGGTGGGTGGTGTGTCTGTGTAGGTGGGTGGTGGCTGTGTAGGTGGGTGGTGTGGCTGTGTAGGTGGGTGGTGGCTGTGTAGGTGGGTGGTGTGGCTGTGTAGGTGGGTGGTGGCTGTGTAGGTGGGTGGTGTGGGTGTAGGTGGGTGTGGCTGTGTAGGTGGGTGGTGTGGCTGTGTAGGTGGGTGGTGGGCTGTGTAGGTGGGTGGTGTGGCTGTGTAGGTGGGTGGTGGGTGTGGCTGTGTAGGTGGGTGGTGAGGCTGTGTAGGTGGGTGGTGTGGCTGTGTAGGTGGGTGGTGTGGCTGTGTAGGTGGGTGGTGAGGCTGTGTAGGTGGGTGGTGTGGCTGTGTAGGTGGGTGGTGTGGCTGTGTAGGTGGGTGGTGCTGTGTAGGTGGGTGGTGTGGCTGTGTAGGTGGTGGTGTGGCTGTGTAGGTGGGTGGTGTGCTGTGGCTGTGTAGGTGGGTGGTGTGGGCTGTGTAGGTGGGTGGTGTGGCTGTGTAGGTGGGTGGTGTAGGCTGTGTAGGTAGGTGGGTGTGGCTGTGTAGGTGGGTGGTGGCTGTGTGTGGGTGGGTAGGTGTAGGTGGGTGTGGCTGTGTAGGTGGGTGGTGAGGCTGTGTAGGTGGGCGGTGAGGCTGTGTAGGTGGGTGGTGTGGCTGTGTAGGTGGGTGGTGTGGCTGTGTAGGTGGGTGGTGTGGCTGTGTAGGTGGGTGGTGTGGCTGTGTAGGTGGGTGGGTGGCTGTGTAGGTGGGTGGTGGTAGGTGGGTGGTGTTTCTGTGTAGGTGGGCGGTGGCTGTGTAGGTGTGTAGGTGGGTGTGTAGGTGGGTGGTGTGGCTAGGTGGGTGGGTGTGTGGCTGTGTAGGTGGGTGGTGTGCTGTGTAGGTGGGTGGTGGTGGCTGTGTAGGTGGGTGGTGTGTCTGTGTAGGTGGGTGGTGGTGTAGTTGTAGGTGGGTGGTGGTGTTAGTTGTGTAGGGGTGGTGGTGAGGGTGTTAGGTGTGTAGGTGGGGGGTGGTGTTAGGTGTGTAGATGGGTGGTGTCTGTAGGTGGGTGGTGTCTGTGTGGTGGGTGGTGGCTGTGTAGGTGGGTGGTGGCTGTGTAGGTGGGTGGTGCCTGTGTAGGTGGGTGGTGTCTGTAGGTGGGTGGTTGTATGTGTAGGTGGGTGGTGTCTGTGTAGGTGGATGGTGTCTGGTAGGGGGTGGTGTCTGTGTAGGTGGGTGGTGTCTGTAGGTGGGTGGTTGTCTGTGTAGGTGGGTGGTTGTC